GAGATATCGAAATGCGTCTGCATTAATTTTTAGATAGTTACATAAATTTAAATGTCAACCAAAAAGCTTAAATCCCTTATAATGACTAAATAGCAAAACGACTAGTTATCAAAATGACCATATCGTTAAACGGACCACATGCTAATATTTTTAAATATCTCAGAAGTAGTAGCAGTATTTTTAACATTATTCGCTACAATATTATTATTGTTACTTGTGCATTACAATTAAAACTGATAAAAGAGTGATTCAGGAAAATATGCACAGGCAGTTTTTGTGGCAGAAACTGATGATATCAGCGAGCTATATACGAATAAACGTCGATCTGATCTTGGATATAAAAATGAAAAACAATAGCTTTCACTTAACACGGGCCTAAAAACTAATATCGATAACTATCGATTATTGCATAATTTAACCCAGAACTCTGGGTTAAATTATGCAAAAAAATAATGTGTTAGACTATAGAATTGCCCGGTCTCAAACTAAGGAATTCCCTGTACTAGCGCTACGGAATTCACTTTGGGTACTATCCATAACACCCAGACTAGAACTAATTTCGAAAAATTAATTCCTCCAGTTTGGTCATATCGGGGCTATCGACCATAGGACTATCTCATTGAAAGGTCACAAAAGTCATAAAAAGTAAAAAAAATCATATAAACCTAATATAAGTTTCGGCCGAAAAGACTATGCTAAGTTTTAGAGATAATTTGAACGTTTTGTGAATATAGCATGTTGAAATCAATAAATACAATGTCCAGGAAAATTTCACTTTTAAAAAATTTTTACTTATTTTCAGAATCATTATAATGAATTTCCTGAAAAGTGTCTTTTTCTTTATTGACCTTATTGGTTTAAACGTGCGATATGTATTTTATAAATTCCTTATATTAAAATGTTAAATATATCTACACACCTAAAATATTACAGTACAATGAACGTCGACCTGCGAAATGCCTAACGGACTCGCAGTCTGAGGCACTTCAGGCTAGCTTAGCTCAGTTAGCTTATTATGTGAAGGAGGTAGACTAATTAGTACAACAATTTAAAAAAAAATTACATTAATTTTATGTTTAATCTAATTGCTTTGTAAAAACCTGTAGCTTGCTTAAAAACCTACGTTATCTTATTATTGTATACCTATATTATTTATTATCTAAGCTACAAATAAAATATAATTTAATTTTTTCAATTTAATAATTTATTTATTTTTCTCTCAACATACAATGTAAATTAAATAAATGCTTACTGACTAGCGAGTTTTAACATTAAACCTTATTTGCGAGAGACTGGTGCCTGAGACAGGCATAAAAATGCCTGTGTTACACCAGGTTCACAGGTCACCATGTTCCCATTCCGCGAAGTGTGTAATACACTACAATTATGTTACACTCAATTTTACATAAATTATGTAGGTATTACGTAAATCAACAGTAAAAATGGATTAAAATGGATTGCGATCAATTACTTTTATAATTTGCAAAATTAAATTAAATTACTATAATTTTTTGGAAATGATGAGATTTTTTTACCGCATGTGTTCTTTTACAGAAGTTGGAGTTGATGAAACACGTAGGTAAATGTATGTAAATATGTAACAGACAAATAGAACAGATAACTATTTGTAAAGGTGTGGTAATTATTTAAATTTCTTTGGAATGCATATATAAATATTAATCAATAAATGTTAATATTAAATAATGTATAGATCTAAATATTTTAGTCGCTATGTCTTGTTGCGTTATCGTTAGCAGTTTAGTGTTTGTAGCAAGCCTATTTCTACAGGTATAAATTAAAATAAACATTTGATTTTGTGTTAGCTTATAGTGACAACATGTGATGTCAACACCGTAATGTAATTTTACTATAAAACTTATAAATAAATATTTTCAGTAAGTAACTTGAAGACTTATTATTTATCGCCGCCGTGACTGGGCCAACAACACAAATATTTATATATTTTTTATAATATCACGTTTAGTAGCAGTAGAGCTCCTTGTGAAAGAGTTCGTCCAGGGAAGTAATACCACCTTATCTATTTCTGCCGCCAAGCAGTAATGTCAGCAATACTGTGTTCCGGTTTTGAAGGGTAAGAGTGCTGGTGAAATTACAGGCACATGGGACTTGTCAAGTTATGTCTCGGGGTGATGGGCGCAGTGGCAGTGACCCTCGGAGCTTGCGATTTAAAGCTCTGAGTGGCACAACAACTCTTATGGACAAGCGTGTAGCTTACCATCAGGCGCACGACTTTTTAGTCCCTTGATATTATAAAAAAAAATGTGACGGGACGAACAAACCGTGCGACTGGTGGTAAGTGGCACCCCTGTCCATAACAGTTGCAGCGCTACTCAGATCTTCAATCGCAAAGATCTCAGGGACACTGCCACTGATCCCGTCACCCTGATGTATAAAGTTGACAACTGTCACTGTGCCAACAGCGCCCCTACTCTTCAAAACTGACACGCGGTAACGCGCACATATTGCATCCCTTATTCTAGCACAGGGTTTCTTAACCCGTGGTCCATGGACCCCTAAGGGGTCCGCGTTGAAAGTGGGGGTTCATAGTGAGCGACGTTTCTGGGCCTTTACAGGTCCCATATAGTCGAAGCACATTATATTATACTATATATACATATTATTATATATATTTTATTATAATAATATCTCAGTAACATAGTCCCGTAAAAATTTTACGGGACTATGTTATTTTTCTCTTTTTATGCTTTTTTGTTGGTTATTTTGCGGTGGCTGCAAAAATGTATGCAGTTGAAACTTTAGATTCTATTTTGTCATAAACTACAGATATAAGTAATGAAAATGCTCGATGTCAAGTATATTTAAAACAAAGGGCATTCAGTGCATAAACTAGAATTTTGTATAATATTTTACTTTAAAATTGCGGGGAATTTGCATGTGCATGTTGGTGTATAAAAGAAGCTTTTGGGAATTTACATTTCTGTTTTAAAGTAACTTTTTGGCCCAGTTTGGTCTGTCTAATTCTAACATATGTCTAATTCCCTTTTTTAAAATATTATTTGCATTATATAGGCCAAGTCAAAAGATTTTTTGTACCAAGTACGGGACCAAGAAGTCGTGCGCCTGGTGGTAAGCGACACGTGTCCATAACAGGTGCAGTGCCGCTTAGAGCTTTTAATCACAAAGATTTACTTCCCTGGGCCCTGGATCCCACTTAGATTTACTCCCTGGACGAACTCTTTCACAAGGAGCTGTACTTCTACTAATATTATTAATGATATACGATAGTCTAAGAACAGAGTGCTGCGAATGGAATAGGAATAAAGGAGAGAGGTTTGAAGATTCTATAAAGTAATTAGTCGATAATTTTTTAATTCCTAAATATAAAAGTTATAAAATTTCACAATTTGCTTCATGTAGTTCGTATTATTTTTATGACTTTTATTTTATGTAAGTCAATGCTTTTATGCGACAAAAACACTTGACGTATGACCACATGTGGCTTTATATATAGTATATATATAAGGGTTCGATATAAACAATTCCAAAAACAATTTGTGCTCTGTAGGTGCGTTTTAAATAACTAAATACTACGCAGTTTAAAAATTCAGTAACAAGGTGAGAAAACATAACTTTTCAGCGAACGCTGAGCAAGTTTCTGTACTTGTTGCTTAATAAAAGTGCTTCCACTTCGCATCCCTACTCCTGGAAAATATTTTTAGTCGGTGGCAGAGTAGTTGGTGATGACTAATAAAAAAATATATTTACGCTTTTGACGTATGATCACAGTGGCTTTATCGCACCAAAAATATGTACACATATTATTTTCTGCAACAG